CCAATCATGCAGAAATTTAAGGGAACATAACAAATAGTGAGATAGCAAATTGGGTCATGCTGTGTCAGATCTGAATGACCTAGTTCTTACGGCCTTTTTTTCTGATATGGCCTGGAGAGAATGTTCTACTTTCAAAAGTGGCAAAAGTTCTAATCACCATCGCCGAACAGCAAATACAAAAGTTTCTTCTTTGAAATTCAGAGCAAACAAACCAGCTGTAATGTACTCAACAGTCTGGTATTGGTATTTGACAGTGTTTACAAATGCAAGAAAGAGCACATCTAAGAAAACTCACAACATGATATTGTTTACAGCATTATATTGTCTACAGCTGTTGATAAATATTAAGGCAGCTTTATATTTTTGTATGTAAAAATCCATTTTTACTTTGCGAATGTAAGACAACTAAAGGAAATCATTATTTCCAAAAGAAAACAATTGGCTTTTACATTTTCATTGTACTTATTCAAAAACTACTATTTAGAAAATATTTACTTTTAAAATGTTCATAAAAAGATAACTAAATCAAATAATTGTTCCCAAAATGAAATAATTGCTTTCTACATTGTCATTATACTAATACAAATAAATTATCTGGAAAATAATTATAAACCGAACAAATTATGGGGAAAAAGAAAGAAAAAAATACAATTAATGTTGAATTCAATTGAATTCTCACCAGAATGAAATATTTTTGTTAAATTTAGTGAATGTAAACATAAAAATAATTAACGCTGACAGCCCTGAAAAAATACATTTTAAAACTAAATAAATAAATAATTAAATTCAAGTTTATTTGTATAGCGCTTTTCACAATACAAATCGTTGCAAAGCAACTTTACAGAAAATTAAGTTTCTACAATATATTTAGTAGCTTATCAGTGGTGACTGTCAGTTAATGTACATATGGCAGAAATGTACAGAAAAATCAATTAAAGACGTAATCAAACAGACAATGAACACTATTAACAGCAATTATTATATGATGCTATCAAACTTATAGCAAAATGTGGTAGTTCTGTATGTTGTTTCAGGGTTGGCATCATCTGAGGTCCTCTGAGGGGTTGGCTGGCATCATCTCTTCTTAGGTGTTCTGGATCCACAAATAAACACATAAAACAAACAAATAGACCCCCCCCCCCACACTTGCAGACCCCAGTTTGAAAATCCCTGGTTCACAGAACACAACTTTAGGCCTGCTGGCATATTTGTGAGATGAGTGCTATATTTTGGTTAAAATATCATGCTCCTCTAGAGGTCAGTGCAGTTCAAACAATACTTGAACTTACTGGAATAAAGTCCTTATACTCATTACTCATGCTGGGTATTATGAATAGAAAAATAAATGTTTCACTGCACTCAATATTATTGATCACTAAACTACCTAAAAGTGGTTTCATGATTTTTGCAGCAAACTCACATTGTACTATAGGACAACACAGCTATTTATCCATTAAAGAAAAACAAATATCAAAGTAACTGTGGAAAAACGAAGAATTTACAGATAACAGAGTTGCATTCAATACCATTAACATACCTTTGTCATTTTCACCTCACTTTTTTGTCACCTGACGATCTTCTCAGCCTTCTTTTCATTTCTCTCTCTGCAGCCCGTCCAGGCTTCTGGTACGCTTCATCGGTGTGACACAAGCAGACACACACCGTGCACCTTCAGCAATAATACACCTCTGATGGAAGGCAGTTGCCTTTGGAAACCTAGAGAGAGAAAGAGGGGTCTTAAGGGGCTTACTATTAGCTGCTTAAAATTCTTCTGATGTAACCAGTGCATAGCCACTGGAAACAAAAACATCAATGCATTCCCACCAGAGTGGCACTTTCACCCTATTTTGTTTACTCTTGGTGGTGTTGTGTTCCAGACGTCTTTTTTTTTTTTAACAGTTGAGGAAACTAAATAATGAGTTCTTTCACTGAGCGAGTCAGTGTGAAGGCAACACTGTTTATCTTTATATCTTCAGCGGTGGCAGACAGCTTCATACAGTGTCACAGGCATACTGACACAAGGTGCCTTGACATTCAAAATGGCCAGAGTACAGGCTGTCGGGGTGAGAGAAACTTTAAAAAAAATTATTATTTTTGTAGAGTCAAAACACTCAGAGGAATTCCTGTGGTTGTGTCAGACCAATACCGAAATGTCAGGTAGTTGAAATTCCTTTGTTTACTCACCAGGATAGATGTGCGGGGTGTGTGGATCTTTATAACATATAAGGTTTCAGTGAAAATGTCACTCTGAGGAATGGTCGTTGGATCATAAAGTGATAATCATAAAAGTTTTTGGCATATAGTGGTTCGTTATTGGCATTGATGGTTTCATGAAGAAACTTTAACATCCATAGAACCTCTCTGTCGCACAAAAGGTTCTTTACACTTTTAAAAATAAAGGTTTTTTTTTATGTCAGAAACATTTGAATAATCTAAAGACCCTTTTGTACAACTGAAAGGTTCCATGGATGTTAAAGCTTCTTGATGGAACCAGATGCCAATAAAGAACCTTTATTAGTGCAAAAAGGTTCTTTAGATTATTAAAATGTTATTATTAAAATGTTCTTTACACTTAAAAAAATGGTACTTTTAAGAACTGCTCACTGAAAGGTTCTACGGAGAAACCAGAATGGTTCTTCAATGTCATTGCTGTAAAAATTTCTTTTTATGGAACCTTTATTTTTAAGAACCAACACTGAACTGACTGGAGGTGAATAATGACACTATATCATCTTGTTAGAGACTTTGGATTTGTCTCATATTTTAAGAAGTTTGCATCATTGATTCTGTTATTTTCCTGTTTAATACTGTAAAGCTGATTTGAAGCAATCTGTATTGTATAAAGCACCATATAAATAAAGGCGACTTGACAAGATTGCACATCATTTAAACTTTAAGCACATTATGCTAATGAGATTAAATATTAATACTTAATGGGGGAGCAGGTGTGTCTGGTCTGAAGGTACTCTCAGGAGGCTGTAGGATTTGTTTTGATGTGGTGATGGGAGATGGACACTCAGTTTGCAACTGGTGTAACTGGTGATATGCCTCATGGCAACAGTCAGACATCCCCACACTGGAGTAAGCAAATACACGGTAGACTCACTGGCCAGCTGTTACGTTAGGTAATTAAGAGCTGAGGCATGCTTCTGGGTATGAGAAGCCCCTGCACTGGGGGTGATGGACTGACAGCCAGAGGCTAGCTGTTTGGCAATCCACAACACAAGACTAAACATTGCAGTGGTTTACTGACCCACGTGCCCCAGACTGGATACCACAAGCTGAAGTACCTCCAGGGAGATGCCTCTGAAGATGCTGCCACTGTATTTAATGTGAAGGACACAGTATTGGACTTTATTCAGGGTAGATGAATAAAGTAATTTGGCTGATTTACGATTTTTTATTTAATAATGTTTGCAATATATATTTAATTTATTTATTTTTATTTAATTGTTTTTAAATATAGGTTTAATGTCTAAAATAATGTGATAAATAATGACTTTCTAATGCAATCGAAAAGGTGTTGCTGTAATTACAGTACCTCTTCATGAACTAATTCTTGTGGTTACCAAAGGTGACACATTTACCATTGTTCAGTGATTTTTTCCCTCCAGATGAAATAGAGTAATTTCAATAGGAATCTGCTCGACCTGGAATTTCACTTGAACACAAATTAGTCACACTGACCAACAAAAAGCTGCTTGGTTTGAATGCGACTTCTGTGTGAGCTTCTGTGTAGCTTTATTTGAAACATTACTACAATATACATTTTGCAGAAGTTTCGCTAATGTTTCCAGGTGTGGTTGAATCATAATGTGGTTGAATCAAAAAAGCTGTGCTTTTTTATTTGGAGGCCTTCCAAGCCTTAATTGTACAATTGAATACTACACGCACCCTGTGTATAATAATTAAAAAGATTTTAAAGAACTGATTTGTAGCATATCTGTACTCTGTAGTACTGCATCATTATGATGCCTGAAAATGTCAGCATGTTTGAGTTCAAAGTTCAGGTATGTCACATGAGACTCTAAGTCATACAATCTGGTTGACTGGCACCCACTCTTGAATTTATGCAGGCATACATATACTATAAAATATTAGCATCTGGTCAGAAAGGTAATCTTTAAAGGGACCATGATCTGCCTTTTTAATTATTATTTTGTACTTCCTGAGTCCCCCCCTCATCACAACGCTCCGTTTGAAAAGGTGTGGCGGCTTGTAGACTCGGAAGTAAACGTCCACTGCTATGATTGGCTAACAGCTGTGTATGTTTGACAGCCTACATCCTTCATAGATGTAAGAAGGATCTATGTGAAAACGCATAAATACTCAGTAACTTACATATCAAATGATCTGTAATAACAGACAAAGCAATAGTGACCATGTAATAAAAACAGTTACTTACACTTGTGTTTTGCGACATTACTGTCAGATCCAATATTTTTGGCACAGCATTGTCATTAAAAATAAAGTTCATCCACTGATCACTCTTTCCTAATGTTGGGATCAGAATGAAGGCAGTGCAAATACTTTGTTTTTCCACAATTTGGCACTGCACAGCATCTTGTCTTCGGGGCCATCTTTATTATTTGGTTTCTGCTTAGACCTGTGTTTGCTGCTCTCATTATTTGCACTACATGCACGAATCGATGGGCGGGGCTAAACAGGCTGTGATGTAGAAGCAGGCATTGATCTTCTGGGGAGGCGGTGCTTATAACCACACTATTATGTCATAAAGTGGCACATTACACAACCTATCGTTTTGGCAGATTGACTTCAATATAAGCTGTTTTTAGACTAACAAGAAAGTTTTGAGTTCTGAAACGTACAGGATGTTTTTTATAGTACAATACGTCAAAAGATCAAGGGAATGTTATTTCTCAGTTCATGGCCCCTTTAAACTGCAGACTCTGTATGAATTTAGCTCAATGAGCTGAAGAACCAACATAATTCTGCTTCCAGTCTAAATGTGTACTGTCTCTTTAACTGACCGTTGCCTTGAGTAAACATTACCGTGCGCACTACTATTTCACACAGAGCGCTGTTGCTGCCTCTGCAACTACCAGAACTTCAAAGAGCCGTGGACGCCATCCATTACTTGGTAAGAGAGGAAGTAACTCATCAAAAGTGCAATTCTTTACTGGAGACTTTAACCGCAGGACTCCCCGTGGGTTCGCCGCTGCGTCTGATGGGCTTCCCCTGTCTGCGACTCACACCAGGAAGTGAGTGAGCAGGTGAGACGCACCTGTTCAGAACGCAGACTGAAACTCTGATGGCATAATATCTTATGGCTGGCAAACAGGTTGGATAGCTGATATATATGCCAAAACGCACATCACGCAATTATTCCAAACAGCAATTCGCCGATAAAAAGAAGACATGGACTTAGACCTGAACTGGGCTCCAGAGCCGGATTACGTGTTGCGCTTTTGAAATCTTACCTCCGCGACCTATACAGGTGGGACGCGAAACTGTTCACACGAGTTTCGGACACTGTTATGGGGAATCAAGTGGAGAAATTTATCCATTTAAATTACAATGAATTACCCACGACTGACCCTAATGGGTGCGACCTAGAGGACGACACTTCCCGGATCGGTGTGTCTTATATTTTCTCTGCTGATGACAACGAGCAGGAGGACAACATCGATGAGACAGAAATGGAAGGTGTTAAACATTACGACTTCCGCAGTGGATTAGAATGCGCGGTATATTATCGCGACGAGTGCATATACGACAGGAATAGCAGGTTCGGTGAAGTGGGAACCCTGTCGTGGGAGAACTTGGCGAATAAATGCAAACCCGGTGACCTGATGGAGTTTGTGGCTATCGGTCAGTACCCGCACTGGGCCGTTTGTGTTGATGACCAACAGGTGGTTCATATGCATAGAAACGAGATTAAATGCGACGTTCTTTTCGATGCCAGTCAAGGTAAAAGGGGCAGAATTGTGAACGACCTGTATAAGTTTCGCGCGCTGAGCCCGGATGTTGTGGTGCAGAATGCCATGGAACAAGTGGGGATGAAAGAGCGAGACATTTGCTGGAAGAACTCTGAATGCTTCGCTGCCTGGTGCAGGTTTGGCAAACGCGAATTTAAAATTGGAGGCGAGATACGTATCGGGAAGCAGCCGTACAAGATGAAACTGCAGCTGTCGGAGAAGAAAAGTCACGTTTTGGACTTTCAAAGTTTAGAGGATTTGATCATGGAAAAGAGGAGAAACGATCAAATGGGAAGGGAAGCCGTTATTCAGGAACTGGAGAATCATTTAAATTGCACAGAAGACACAGAATGATTACAATTGTAACTGATGGATCAAAGAGGGAGGTTCTCTAGTGGGCAGACAGCCTCATCATGGCTTTGTTTGTAATCACCTCAAGCACAGGGGCAGTGTTGCAATTTTAATCAGTTTCTCAAGAGACTTTTCCTTCAGCAGCACTTTTATAAATTGGACAACTTCATCTTTTTGCAATGATAATCCTGGTGTTTTTGTAGTAAGGAATTGATCTTTCCCTCACTTTGCTGTATTCACATCCAAGGGAACGTTTTATGAAAGCCTTTCCATATCACCTTCTAATGATCATAGTATTTTCTTTTGAGGACTGGCAAAGTATGTATTCCCTTGACACATTATTTCAATAGAGTATTTTTACTTAAGTACCGTTTTGTTCTTCAGCATTGGATTGTGATATAATCAATATGACATTTTGTTGTTTAGCTTCAGTTGTCTCATCAAGTACTGTATAAACCTGCAGCCTATATTTTTTTGCTACTGAACTTACTATATTCAAATGTTATTCATGCATGCAAAGAAGATATTTTCATTCAGCGTTCAATTCAGATAAACTCTTCTGTTCGGTTTGATTGATGGAATTGGTATAT